CACCACATAAGCAAAAAGAAAAAAAAGCCGGAAGTGGCGCTGTGGCTCAAGTGGTAGAGCTCTAGCCTTGAGCTGAAGAGCTGAGGGACAGCACCCAAGCCCAGAGTTCTGGCCCCACAACTGGACCCAAAAAAATAAAGAAAGAAAGAATACATGGTCTCAACAAGACACCAAAACTAGAATCTAGGTTTTCAAGGTAAATGTCACTGATTAATGAGCATGGGGTTCGTCAGAATAATAAGTGACTTGAGTGTGGAGAGCCAATGAGCCCTGGCACAATATGAAATAATTCACTCACCATGAGGTAATGCTTGCTTTTAACCCATCTTTCATGGGCTTGATACCACAGAAGACTGAAAAGATTTGAAAAGCTATTAGAGAACTCACAGGATTCTATGTTCTAAGATCCTCCTTTGTCTCAAGAGACATCAAAGGATTTCTTTTTTAAAATGTTTCTATCATAACTGAAAATTTCTTCCTTTGTCCTCCCAACAAAGTACTTAAGATTGGGTTTAAATAGCTAAGATATGGAACTAGCCTAGGTGCCCTTCAGTAGATGAATGCTATTATTTTATGTTCTTATAATGTACTATGGTTTTTTTTGTTTCTTTTGTATGTTCTTCCCCCATGGTATAACTAGTTTTCACTATATTTGATTCCAGTGCCCTGCATCTTGTATACACATTTTATAATTTGGGGAGGGAAAAATAAGAAAATGCTTAAATAAGGATACAGGTTGACCCATTGTAACAATGAGATGTACAAGACAGTATGTTGAAAATAAACTTTACAACTTCGGGGGTGGAGCAGAGGAGTTGGAGAGGTGGGGAGGGAAGGGATGGTAGGGGATAAACAAAGGAGGAGGTAACAAGGCTGGATAGGAAATGCACTCATGAAACTGTAACCCCTCTGTACAGTATTTTTACAATAAAATTATATATATATATATATGTATGTATGATTGGGTTTAAAAAATGTGGCTCTAAATTTCTCAAGATCTTAAAGTATGGAAACTTATGTTTGAAAAAGTAAAGATAGGTCCTGTGGAGAGCCAATGAGCCCTGGCACAATATGAAATAATTCACTCACCATGAGGTAATGCTTGCTTTTAACCCATCTTTCAGAGGGCTAGAACTGTGTATTAGGGAAACTGATTTATAGCATAGATCTTTTGGCTTAGAAGACAAAATTCCAGAGTTGCAGCCCTGATATCAGCATATTGGCATAATTTCCTAATATTTTCTTAAGCTGCAGTATCTTGAGCCTTTGAAAGTTCCAAAGAAAAATGTAAAAAAATGCCTAACATTGAATTTCCTGAAAATTTTATTGCTGGAATTTGTTGCATATTAATGTTAAAAGTGTTTGAATGTTGAGGATATTCAGTGAAAATTGATTTAATCAATATTATAATTAGGTTATAATAAATTAAATTATGCTATATATATATATATATATATATATATAGCACTTTCCTACATTCTGAAGCTAATCTGAAATGTCATATAATTTTGATATCCAATGAAGAAGCACTTGAATTGTAACTAGATGAAAGAATATTCCTGGCAGGTGCCAATGGCTCATGTCTATAAGCCTAGTTACTCAAGAGGCTGCTATCTGAGGATAACAGTTCCAGGCTAGCCAAGGCAGGAAAGTCTGTGAGACTCTTATCTCCAATAAACTACCAAAAAAGCAGGAAGCGAAGTTGTGATTCAAGTGGTAGAGCATTAGCCTTAGTAAAAGAAGCACAGTGACAGCATACAGGCCCTGAGTTTAAGCTCCAGGACTGGCACTCACGCACGCACGCACACACATACACACACACACACACACACACACAAATATTGGCATCACAGATACTAGTATTTTGTACTTTCTGGGAAAAGAAATATTAGTTATAAGAATCAGAAAATTAAACAAAGTAATTGTTACCAGATGTAATGTGTGGTACCAAAAATCTCAAGAAAATCAAGTGAAAATTATTATAATAACAATATAATAATTTTAGGTGATAGACTAATTTTTATATTAACTTTTTAGAAAATTTGTGTTTTATATAAATGAAAAAGTAATCAAAACAGAAACTAATTTACAATATTATTATTTTAAAAAGACTATATCTCGATGAGAAAATTAATTATGTCTATAGTAAACAAAGCTTTCTTCTCTCCTCCTAAATATTCATACACAGAGGGAGACATAAGAGAAAAAGAGAGAGAAATGAATGAATAAAAATAAAAATTCAACCAGTACATACTGAGAGTTAGCATGTGGGTAAGGAGAGAGTTGAAAATAAGAGGACACAACACTACATGTGAGTATTTAATTAAATGAGAAACCATTTGGAAGAAAATCATATTGGTGATGTACACATTCTTCACCAAATTCATTTCCTTATTGACCACAACTTAAAACATAAACTATAAACCAATTAGCAAGTAAAACTCCTTAAACTACAAGCTAGAAAAACATAGCAATATTAATAGTGATTGGATATGAGAGAGTCTTCATATACATGAAAAAAAAAACAAGGAGAAAAAAGCTGATAAATCTGACTAAATCACCCATCAAAATTCCTATATCATGAAAACATTATGACAAGTCTAGGAAAAAATATTCATGTCACCCATGGAAATACTGTAAATCTTTTTCATATAAAATGTGCTCCTACAAATCCACAGATGCAATGTCATTTATTAAATAGCAACACACACACAAATTCTTTCTAACCTTGGTTTTGATCTACCTGCTTGATTAACATATTATGTTCCCTATGGGATGAAAATCAACTAGAAGGAAGACAATTGTGCTCATGGAAAATGACAAAAGAGGCATAAAAGTGAATGATTTTAAGGAATTCTGGATCATACAAAGACCAAGTATGATTAGTTTTTCATCGGAGGAAAGCAGCAGAAACCTAGGTGCCTGCAGAAGCAAGTCAAATTGCTTCCTCAAGTACCTGAAACTTGCTGGGCTTGGAACCACCAGCTTCCTGCTAATGAGGTAGAAACAGAATTGATTAAAAGTCTCTATCTAGAAAAGCTAGACACTCCCCACCCATCTATCTCCAACCCTGTGAGAGTTCAGTGAAATACATCTTCATTGCTAAGAAAGTACCATGTAGCCTTGCTACAGAGGTCAGCACATAGAAGCCACAATCCACATTGTGGATGGATTGCCCTGTGAGGCCACAAAAGTCTCTTTAATATATCATGATTTGAGGTTAATAGACTAGCCTCATATATTAATAGTACCAAAGGGTTTGAATAACACATGAATTAACTCAAGATTTCTCCTGGCCAGTCCACTTGGAACTTCAGACTACTACACGCACACCTCTCCACTTCTATTCCAGAGCAGCTTTAGTTCCTGTTTGCTTTACAACACCTACGTAAGTGTTCAGATCGTGGCAGGGAACAGCTGCTGTGGGAGTGGTCGTCAAAACTATTGGTGAAGACTGGAGTATGCGTTGCTGAAGATAAAGGAATTTGGTGAATTAGGGTTATGCATATAGTAAAAACAGAGTGAAGATAGCAGTGGCTGGAAGAAGAGCAAAGGCACTCCTAGGCAATGCCAGGCAGATGTGGGAGTTCATTTTTACATAATGGGAATTTATCACTCAGGGTAATGAAACTTCCTTTCTGTTTCAGTCTTAGGTATTTCCAGCATACTTGTGGGCATTTAATTTATATATAACTAGAATATTCAGAAGGTTTATACATGATCTAAAAACATCTTGATCACTGTGCTCTTTGTTTTTTTTAATTAATTTATTTATTTTTTATTTGTGAACATACTGTACAGAGGGGTTACAATTACATGGGCAGGATAATGCGTACATTTCTTACCAAGTCACTGTGCTCTTTGTGGCAATGGGAATCAGATCTAAACGTTTATTGCTATGAAAGGATGAAAAGACACTGTTGATGCATCACTGAGGCTTCTATGTGGTGAGCGGAAACCATGGATTCCTCAATCACTTCATGCAAATGCTCCAAAAACCCATTTTTAAAATTTGTTTTAAAATGAAGAGTCTGGATCAGGTAATCTTCTTAAACCTTACTTCCTTGTCTGGAATCTTAATTAGTTAATTCCATTTCCCTCACTCATTCATCCATTCATTCACTTAATTCTTTAATTCCATTTAAGATCATTAAAGGGAAATTACACTATATGTTAATCACACTGAAACAGGAGAATAAACCAATGTCTTTGTATTTGTAAATGGACACATGATCTTTCACTAGGCACACCACTGGAAAAGTACTGGAAATGCTGGTTAGATTGGGAGTGAGTATGATTACTTCTGTTTATGGAGTATGTAACTATGTGAATGGACATTTGACATTTTTTTTGAAAAATCACAAAATATTTTAGACATTTTATGTCACGTATGGATGGTATAGAGACAATTAAGAGTTAGCTTTAATTTTCCCATCTAAAAATGGGATATTAGTAGATATTTCATCCATTATGGTAAACATAAAATCAATTAGGACATATTAAAGACAGGTCAGTTTATGGTTCAGTTCAATCACTGTATTACTATTACTATCAGTACAAATGAGAACCCATATCTGTCGATATTCTCAATATTTAGCATGATGACTCGTGAGATGCATCCCTTGGAGAGTACTTGAAAAAGAAAAAGGTACATGTGGATCTTCCCATAGGAGACAATTGATGAGGCTGTGACTGGAGGCAAGGAACACAATTAGAAGGCCATATTTTGGCCCAGTAAATAATGGTAGTGTTAAAGAGGAAAACCAACACATCAACTTGTTTATTAGTTGGTAACATAGAAGAGACCTTGCTTATTGATTGGCTACGAGAGGTGGAAGAATGAGGCTGAGACAGGACTTGGCTAAACATCACGCATATATTTCCACAAGACTCAAGAAGGAATGCATGAAGAAATTCATGTTTGGAGGGAAAAATAGAGAGAGGTATGTATAGATATTATCTAGGAAACAGTTGGTAGTCAGGGTTTGGGGTTTAAGGAAATACCACAGTTGGAGAATAAAAGTCATATTTTAAAAAATAAATGATTATTGAAATGCATAGCTAAATTAATAAGATTATCTTTTAAAATAAGATGACCAATGAGAATATTCTTATTGTTGTTTTTTACCTGGAGAGAAAAAAAAATCTGTGTGACTCTTACCTCCAGGTAACCAGCAAAGTACCTGACTGGAAGAAGGGTTGAAGTGTTAAAGTACCAGCTATAGTTCACTCAAGAACGGGTATTAGCACAAAAAGACCAAACAAAAAATAATTTAAAAAAATAAAGCATCCTGACAATCTACCACTACTATACTATTCTGAATGTATCTAATCCAATCTAATAGAAATGGCAACAGATTTGTCATGAACTCAAGAGGTTACCTACATTTGGTTCCAAAACTGTGGGCACATTCTTGTGATATGGAAGACAATACATCTTTGACAGACCCAGACTTGTCAAAGATGATACAAAACAATGAATATATACACATGCAGCAATTATTTGTTCATACTGGCAAGCGTGAAAGTTAAAAATAAAGTACTTCATGATTGCTAGGAAACAGGGATAGTGCTTGAAGATCTTTGCTTTGGAGAAAAGCTATGAAGCCCCACAATACATTATCACAGGTACTAAGAACCAAAAAATGAGGATCAGTTTGCCCGAGTGTTTTTCCTGCATTTGAAATAAAAAAAAAAATAGGCTGCAAGTCAGATAATTGCACTGTTTCTATGACTACTCACCACAGAGTAATCAGACTTAGAGCGGATCTACACCTAACTCTGCATGGTAAAGATATTATTAGCTACTATTTTATCTAACTACTGATTTAAAAATGGAAGTAGCTGGGCACTGGTGGCCCATTCCTTTAATTCTAGCTACTCAGGAGGCTGAGATCTATGGATGTGGTTTGAAACCAACATGAAAAATCCATTAGACTTTTATCTCCAATTAATCACCAAAATGCCAGAAGTGAAACTGCGGCTCAAGTGGTAGTGTTAGCCTTGAAAAGGTAAGGGATAGTGCCCATGCACTGAGTTCAAGCCCCATTACTGACACAAAAAGTGGGAGAGAGTATTTTGTTATCTCTGAGGTACATAGTTTAAGAAATACAGAAAATGGGTTACATTAATCCTATTTAGTTTCATGTGGCCCAGTATGGCTGGAAAGTCCAGTTCTTACCATTTCTGGCCCAAAGCTGTGATGATTTTTCCCCATCACCTATGGTGGTACTTTGTTGAACTGTTAATAAGCGAAGTGCTTAGATATGTCAATTAACAATACTATTTATGTTACTTATTTTAATGTTCTCTACATAAAAAAAATGAACTGCCTGCTGGTAGTAAGAAACAACCCATTCTGCTTTACTCTTCCTGAGAGACATTCAGCATTGGTGAATTTATTGTAACTAAAAATAAAATCCCTGTACAGCTGTGTCAGTATTAATAAAACTAGGTTCTGTCAAGGTTTTAGTTAAACTTGGATATTTTAAGAATAATTTTATGGAAATAATTCTGTATACTTACATCAACAATCAGGAAATCTAGCCAGCACCATGCATTAGTGAAATATGTTTGAAACCCATAAGCTACCCATTTGAGAAGCATTTCCAGAATGAATATATACGTGAAGACCTTGTCCGCATATTCTAGCATGGTTTTGATGGTCTTTCGCTGTTCAATGTATATATCTTCAAAAGCCTGAGAATAAATATAATGTTAATTTATCTTGATGGTTTGACTCCCTTAAATACTTCTAATGTGCTTAACATATATTAACAAAGAAATAATTTGATAAGTATTGACAAGTATCATACAGACATTGAAAAACTGAAAAAAATCTAAAGCCTAAGACTAACTAGGAAAATATTGGCAAGGAAAAGTCAACATCTTTATTTTTACCATTATTTAAAAAGTGATGTAAAGAGGGATTAAAATTACATGAATCAGGTAATGAGTATATTTCCTTTTTACAATGTCTTCTCTTTATTGATGTTAATCCCTAAATTTTACTCCCTCGAGTGTCTATCTCAATTACTACTACAAAGACTTTCAGTGAAATGACATGAATTTAAAAAATAACTAGAGGCTCTAAGGGTAGTATATGCTTATTCCAATATTACTCTCTTTCATTCACTGAATGATCTAGCTTATTTTGAGGGAACATTGATTACACACGAAGAAAGCAAGATACAATTTTCATCCATTAATGTTAACATAATTATTAGGGAAAACTAGATGGCATTTGACAGGGAAGGTAATGTAGCCACACAATGTTTCTGCAAATGGTTGTCTCAGTGAGGAAAAACATCTGCTAGATAAACACCAGATGAAAAATTCCATCTGGCTGTTTCATCTGATTTGTTTCCAACAGAATTTTGCATAGAGTACTCAGTTCTGCAAGACAACAGATATCACTTCTCTTTTGATTCTTAAACTTGGTTTATATTTCTGGAATTTTATTGGAATGAGCTTCTTCACTGGAGCCTGAATCTGCCCAGCATGCGTTTTACTTACCAAAGCACCACTGCTGAGAAGAATCATGAAGACAATGAAAGTCTCAAACCAGTTGTGCTCTACAATGCTGTAGCAGGTTTTCCTAAGATTCCACCATATCTTTCCTTTGCCTTCTTCTGTACTTACTTGACAGAAGGGAAACTTTTTAATACATCCTAAAAGGCAGTGGTTAAATGGAACAAAACAGAAAAAATATATTTTATTTCTAAAAAGGAAAAGCATAAAATTTCTTGCTCCCTCTCCACCCCAACCCCAGTTCAGCATTTTATGGGGTACCTGGCTGTGTCATTCCCTTGTCTCCTCCAACATTTCTCCCACGCAATAAAATATTGTTAGTCTTATACACTTAGAATATAAGAAACTTCTTTACTCATATTTGCTTCAATGTATACATATGTATATATTTCAATAGACATCAGAATTTCTTTGCTGCAAGAAAATCTCAAGATAGGGGCAAACCCTAAATTCTAAATTTCAATTTCCTCCTCTTCAATCATAGAAAACCCCACTGTCTTTTCAGGTAATAGCTGCTGTCAATATTCTCCAGCTAATTTATTTTCAGCCTCAGTGCTTTTCTTAGTCTCGCCATGACTCATCTTGTCAGTCAGTATCTCCTAATTCCTTTGTCTTCTGCCACCTAAGATTTTGCATTATTTTTTTACTTCTCTTTGCTGTTCTGCTTTTACTCTCTGTGCTACCACTCATCAGATTAAATCCAAATATGATGAGTCAATAAATCTTTACTGATTTGTGTACAATTTGCTGGCAGTGTTACTGCAAGAACAACTGTGACTCCCCCTGCCAAAGTTACCTCTCCAAATAGCTCTGGGCATTACACAAAATAATCACATTTGAAATTATAAGAGGTGCGATGCCATTACCATAGCCCCTAGAAATCAAATCACATAATCAGTGATATATTCGGAAGGGATTGCAATTATCAGTGACATGACATTTTAAAGTGACAAATGTATCTTAGGATCTGTATTCTTGCATTCTATAGGGTGAAAGGTTTTTTTTAAGTTCTATTCTCTTATTTTTTTTCCAGGAATAGTTTCTGCTATTGAATAATCTGAAAACATAAATTTTATTTAGAGGAAATGAGAAAAACAAAGATAAGCCTGTCTTCACTGTTTTAAATACTTCCCTCAAAAACATTTGGAAGGACTGATGGGAGATTTTCTCACATCCTATTATTTGATTACCTTCAGTAAAACAAGCTTCTGGCTTAAGGTCTTCCTCAGGTTCAATTTCAGGTTCACCTTCTCTGGGTGGGGCAACATCTACTGTGCTTCCTTCTGATGAGCTGGTCGCATTTAATTTCTGGAAACACAATTCCATTTCCAAGATGTGAATTTTGTTCCCATTTATTCAAATAATTGGGAAATGCTCTCCCACAGTGCAAAATATAATAGTACTTGCATTTGACTTGAGTAGTGATACTGATGATTTTATACTAATAATTTCACATAATTAAATTTCTACTAATCACAACAATGTGACGAGTTACCTCATTCAAGCAAATAAAGGTTAAACAGCAGTTACTATAGATGATTTGAAAGGGTTGATCATACTGATTAATTTGTTTTATCATCTCCATTTATGCATGAATGCCATAGGAAAATAACCTGATAACATTAATATTCTGGCTAACCCAAAAATAGTTTGAGAAGAACTTATTATGTTAACATCTACTCATGATTATATTAATTAAATGCAACAAATCAAGCTATAACTTGCACCTCTTCAGATAGAAATTTTCAGAGGGCACAGAACATTACCGGTTGTTTCTAAGTGCTGTCCATGTTTCTGTAATTTTCAAAAGGGAGAGCAGCACGTTAACATTAGTCACAGTCATTACATTTCAACTTTGAGCTATATTTTTCTCTGGCTTACATAATTTTCTCCTTACTTTACTAGCACAAAGTGATGGATCATTCTTTCTCCCTCTTTGTAACTGCATAAAGGAATCTAATGCTTGCTGAAGAATTCTAACTGCAATGGAAATATCTTCATAAATGACATCACCTAGAATCTGTAGAGGAGGTCTTTTTTATATTCAACATGTGATCAGGCTGCAAATTTTTCTTTTAAACAAATCACTGCGGCATGGTGAAACAGGACACTTTAATGGTACAAGAATAAAGATCTAATAAGTTTCCTAAGATCTGTCAAGAAGATATCTGAATGTGTGATGCTTTGTGAAAAGTGTGCAAAGACATGATGACACACAGCACAAGCAGGCGGTGTAATGCATTCAGGATGAAAGAACAGCTCATGGGCATGTGAATGATTTTGAAGCCCCCATTATGAACATCAGTAGCTCAGTGTGAAAGGCACTCAGCCCTAGCCTCCTGAGTTAACGTCCTATTTTAAAAAGGGCTAATGACAGGTCATATTGGGAGAAATTTAGCTCAAATTTTTCTGATTTATTGAAATCATAATGTCAATGTGAGCTTAATATTTTATAATGTGAACTAAAATTGAAGAGTAATGTCCAGATAATACTTGCCATGGTGTGACTTTGAAAGTGATATTAATCATATCCAAATAAATATATTATGAGAATAATTTCAAGTCAAAATATAATTCCACAGTATAATTCCTTCTACTGTGGAGTTTGCTGAAAAGAAAAGCTAGGTCATCATTGTGTCTGATGGTTCTTAGGCTTGTTAGATAATAGGAATTTTTACGAAATTCCTTTACTTTTTGAAAACCAGAGAAGCACAGACAAATTTTCTCCTAGTATTTTTCTGCTTCTTGCACATAGGGTATATTCATTCTTTTTTTAATAAAGCTTAGAGAAGCAATGACTGGGTATAATCATAACAGCATTTGGAATAATCAAGAAAAATGATTTGGTCTCAGCAGTTTACTCTTCCAATTTCATTGATGATTTATAGGTTGGACACTATGGCTTTTGCTGACAGACAGCAATTATAGACACTTCAAAAATAACACCAGTATGACATGAAAATAGTTTGAGATGCTATTCACAAAGTTCATGATTTATCTTCTTCCTCAGCTAATTCAGGTGCATCAATATTTTCCTGACCATCAATATTATTCTCACCATTTTTTAAGCATAGAACACCTTTTTTCACAGAGTCTCTTTCTTGCATGCTATTTCCAGCAAATTCTATAGTTCATTTAGTTAATTATTCTTGCTCCTTTTGGTAAAATATAGCATATATATGTGCATGTACATATATGTGTGTGTGTTGATGTACACACACATATTTATACATATATAACAAATAAACACACATACTGTATATAAAAAGATCCACATCACCATGTATAAAATGCCACTCAGTAGTTATGCCAGGTTCATGAAGAGTTAAACAGTAAATGTACTTTATATTACTTTTCTAGAGAAAATTATGATAGCTGAACACTTTTATCTCTCATTTCTTATAGTACATAACACTCAGAAATGGCCTTACCAGAAATTATCTACTTGGATTAGAAAATGAATTTTCTTATTAAATAGAAATTATTTTATCAATAATAATTTAGTGTAAAAACATACATTTCCAAATTGTGTCAGATGCCAAACAAGGAAGTATGAGAGAAGAAAGTCATAAGCATTATATGTATAAACTCACAGACTTATATGCTTTTCAGCTTGAAAACTTTAGAAAATATACTTACCCTTCATAAATGGAAATTGTTTAATTTTCACATAATGATTGTCACATATTCTACTACTGGTGTCATATATTTAATTACAATACTTACTTAAAACCAATGATTCACAATACACAGTATAGGAGGCAGAAAGGAAAATGAAAGTTCAATCAACTGTTTACCAAGTATGGATGACAGAATTTTGTTACTAATTTTCTTTAGATTACAAACATTTGTGAATGTCACTAACATGTTTGTGTGTGAATAATCATACTATCCCAGTTAGCTCTGTGATAACACTACATATTTGGATACACTGACTTAGAGAAGGACAGTATTCAATTAGTTCACCTCTGTCTCCCTGGAACTCTGAAGCCAATGTCATTTGAAAACAGAGAAGGGAAAGACCCTACCCCCATGCTGCCCTTCTCTCCAGGAAAAGAATCTTTTCTTTTTTCTTTCTTTCTTTTTTTTTTTGTGTCAGTCGTGGGGCTTGAATGCAGACCTGTGTGCTGACCCTGAGCTCTTTTGCTCAAGCCCAGGGTCCTCTCACTTCGGCTACAATGTCACTTCCGGCTTTGTAGTGGTTAATTGGAGATAAGAGTCTCAGGGACTTTCCTGCCAGGGCTGGCATTGAACCAGATCCTCAGATCTCAGCCTCCTCAGTAGCTAGGATTACAGGAATGAGCCACCAGTACCTTGCTAAGAATCTATTTATATGAAAAATTGTTTCAATGCTATCCAGATTTTTTTTCTGATAATGAGGATAAGCTTTTTAAGCTAAGATTCATAAGCTTTGTAAGCTAAGTCTCTGGGAAACTCCCAAGAGAATTTTCAGAGGATATGTTTCCAATCTCTAAGAACTTCATAAACAAAGAGGAAAAGTGATAGGCAAGTGATCTCTTTGTTAACAAATATTTCATGAGATTCCTTTTTCCCTATGAGGTTAACACAAGGTCAGCTCTCTTCGAGTGCAATTCATTGTTTAACTGCAGCAATCAGAAATGCCACTACACTTTTTTTAGCCAATAGGCCACATTTTTTAAAATCAAAGGGTAGTATTTATATTTTATTATATGATGTTATGTATTATTATATGAACTATGGACATTTCAAAAGTTGTGCTTCTATTCACATTAATGATCTGAAGTTTAAATTGGGTTTCTATCAATTATATCACCTATTCAATACATGGGTTTCAATGCCACAGTCATTGCTTGCATAAAGTTTACTGAAGAGGGTATTATTTTTACCAAAGTATAATGTATGTATATGTTGAAATATCATGGTAGGATTCCTCTGTAAATTAATATACACTAAAGAAAATAAATGACAGGAATGTATTAAAGCTTCAATCAGGACATAGTTAATAGTAGGAAGGAAGAAAATGATGAAAGGTTGAATATAAGGTTGAAGGTTGAAATAAGGTTGAAGTACCTTATAGGCACGCATGAGAATAGAACACTGAATCCTTTGAAATGGTTTTAAGAAGAGAAGATGCTGGACAGTGATAGAGAGGTTGAATTTGATTGGAAGTCTCTTGTATATTCAATATATATTGCTTATGTTCATTACTGTGCTTCTAAGTCACTAAGTTATGCTCCACATAACTATTTAATCTTTTAAAATTCTGTACATCAACATAATAGCAATTTACGTTAATTCTATAAATTAACATTAATTACTTTAGTAGAGGATAGTTTGTGTTATACTTACTAAAGACATAACAAAATTACTCATAAGATTTTAAAGCATATAACTGACTTAAAAGCAAGCAACTGGTGATAGACACAAATGATAACTTACTTTATACTGCCATAGCTGTTACTATATGACATAAAATTTTACAAAAATCAAAGAAACCTGAAATGAAATGTATCATATTAAGGAACTTGATGCCTGTGCTAAATAACCAAACTTACTACTTGTTCTGAACTAGCTAAAAGTAGAAAGAAAAATTTCATATTAAAAAACCACATAGTACAAGTCCAAACTTGCTTGCTTGTACTATTATCTTCCTAACGCCTTCAATATTTCATGGCACTTAAGTTTAGATTTTTCCATCCCTTGTAGAAACAAATTGAGTCTACAGAGGGATGATGGCGTATGCTCTACAAATGCACACTGGAAAGCAGGTTTTAAGATGCAACATTCTCCAGGTCTAATTCAGCCGCAGAAAACATGCCTGGCTGTAGCAGAAGCCTGGCGCAATGCTGTGGAAGCTGCACACTGACCCAAGAACCATGCTCTCAGACACATGGTACTTGAGAAGGTTAACCACAACCACCACTTAGAGGAATGGGTTTCTTCAAATAAGAAATGACAGAATTAGCAACTGAAAAGGCCATGGAACCATTCCCCACACCCATAGCAACATGACCTTATGTATAAATTTCCCCTTGTGACAAATAGTGCTCTTGATTTTTTTTTTTTTACCCAATTAAAGAATGAATTTAACTTCCAGAACTTGAAGAGAATGTTAGCAACTGGCCTACTTCCACTGAAATGCGCTCACATTTCATTTATTTTCAGTCAGCTCTCAAATGTTGGACTCTCACAAATTGCTGTATGATTCAAGAGACAAAATAAAAGATTCAGCCATTACAGATTGCCTTTAAAATCTAGCCATTTCCTCTATAATCTTATTCAGGAGTTTGTCTTACTAGTAGAAGAGGAAAATCTTTTGGTCACAC